TTCGCTAGCGTCCAAGAACAGGCTGGACGGATAAGGTAAGTCTGGGATCGGGCAGGAGACTCGATCTGGCTCTCGATCTTCGGTTTGGATCGGGTGGCTTTGCTTGATCTCTGAGTTGATCTCGTCTGGATCGGGTAGGGGACTCGATCTAGTTCTCGATCTGCATGGTGTCATTTACGTCCGTACTTCAGATCGATCTCCTATCTCGATCTCGGTCTCGATTCGTTCCCTTGGATCGGCTTGGTCACTCGATCTCGTCTAGATCGACCTGCCTTGCTCGATCTGCTACTCGATCTCGGGTCCTTAGCATGCAATCCTGATTTCTTAAAACGATGCAAACTAGCCTAATGTGCAAGGTAAATGCATGAGAAACTATCTTATATGTATGCAAAACACATGAAATATGCAGCAATATCACAAGCTAGATCCAATGTCTTGTAAAATAGCCCTTTGCTAAACACCTTAACAAGAACTAACTCTCATTAGTGCTAAAACATTCAGCAGGTATTAATAAATAACTCTATTCAAGTAAAAATGCTCCTCAAACAGTCAATGTCTTGAGCCAAGGCCAGCAAATCCTCTATTAAACAAGATCAGCATTTCATCAAAGACTTGGTGGGCATAAGAGAAAGCTCAAATTCTAGATAAGTGTGATCAAGACATAGTTTAAGAACAGATTAATAGAGAGGAACCCATATAATGAAGCACCAAACAAACCTTAATGAAGCCCTAAATTCCCCTAATCTACCACATCTATAAATTTTAAGCAAACTACTCACTAATACTCATGTTTAACACCAAATCACAAGAGGAAAAGATGCTAATCATAATTAAAAAAGAGATTAAAGAAAGATTAAAGGCAAATACCAACTTATATTAAATAGAGCAAAAGATTTGTCTTACAAACTCAAAGAAAATGCTTAAGAACAGTAAATTGACAAGACTTTTCGAAAATACAGAAAAAGGGCTATTTATAGCCAAAAGAAGGAAGCCCTAGAGTAATGGCAAAAGCGTAAATAAAACAGGCTCGGACTGGGTTCATATCGATCAGTTGTAACGGTCTGGGCTTGATCGTTACGAATCATATCGGTCTGGGGAGTGATCGATACAGTGATCAAAATACACACGGCGCGTTTGTATCGATCACTCCTGACCGATACCTTTGACCGATACACTTTGTATCGATCACCCCTTGACCGATAGCGTCCGTGTATAGACCGAAAAGCTCTACAGAGATCCTTTGCCTTGGTCCCTTTTGCTCCTTTTGGTCCAGCTAGCTTCCTAGATCATCCCCAAAGCTCCTTCAAGCTCCTTTTAGCTCCATAAGCACCTAAAAACATCCATAATGCAAGAAAAATGCAAATTATATCTTAAATGCAACATAAGTCTAAAAGAAGAAGAAAATGGGACAAAAGCTAAGGAAAACATGCAAAAAAGAACCAAAACATGTACTAAATGCAAGCCTTAATGGTGTAAATACAAGGGATATCAATCTCTCCAACTGGAGAAGTAATGGAACAATCTTTTTGTCGTGGATTTGTCTCTTCTAACAACAAGTCCGAGTATGAAGCACTCATAGCCGGGCTCCGGCTCGTAATTGGCGTTAGTGCAAGGCAGATCAAAGCTCATAGCGACTCGAGACTTGTAATCGGGCATTACAACGGCGAGTACAAAACAATAGAAGAACGTATGGAAGCCTACTTAACCATAGTTCGCGGCCTTGCGGAACAGTTCTCTCGTTTTTAGCTTGTCCATATACCCCGAGGAAAAAATACGGGCAGTAGACGCTCTAGCAGCCCTAACTTCCACCTCGGACCCTGCAGTAAAATGACTAATCCCAGCCGAAGGGATTGAGAAGCCTAGCATAGACTTAGCACTTAAAACACCAGCTGTAAGCACTATTACTACGCGACCATCAACCCGGATGAAACACAATAGTCCCAAGATCCGGGACCATCTAACCCAGCCGGCCATCTCGACGAGGATGATCCAGCTAACACCTCACCAGAGGATGCGGAATTGAACCCGACCTCCTCACAGAGTACTCAGGAATCAACAATTCATACAGTACCAACTACACTCGCATACGAGCCAACCTTCAAAGACGAGTTTGTTGCCAGAGCAGACTGGAGGATACCCATCCTCGAGTACATCCTACATGGAACAGCTCCCTCCGACATGTGGGAAGTTCGAAAGCTCAAGGTTAAAAGTGCCCGCTATAACGTGTTATTTGATGACAAGTTATACAAACGAGGACTATTGAAACCGTATCTTAAATGCGTACATGGTGAGGAAGCCTACACGGTAATGTCCAACACTCACCAAGGCCCATGCGGAAGTCATGCTGGAGGCCGAGTGCTCGTCATTCGAATTAAGAAACTCGGCTATTTCTGGCCGACCATGATAGCGGACTGCCAGAGATTGTCCAAAAGCTGCGACAAGTGTCAAATGCATCCTCCAATTATCCATTGTCCAGCCAAAAATCGGTTTTTGATATCGGCACCTTACCCATTCATGAGATGGTCGATGGACATTGTAGGACCAATGGTTCCTTCGGGACCCAAACAATTCAGGTTTCTGCTAGTCCTCACTGACTACTTCACCAAATGGATAAAAGCTAAAGCTTACCAACAAACAACCGAAATCCAGGTGCGCGGTTTCATCTGGAAAAACATGATCTGTCGTCACGGACTCCCTTACGAGATCGTTACCGAAAACGGTTCACAGTTCATATCCCAAAACTTCAAAGACTTCTGCACGAGGTGGAAGATAAAAATCCTTAAGGAAACAGGCAATCCGAAGCAACAAACAAAACCATCTTGAGCAACCTCAAGAGACGACTCGATTGCCAAAAAACAAAAATGGTCCAAACACATTTCAGCCATACTGTGGGCTTGTCGGTCCACACCTCACAAAGCAACCAGTGAAACACCGTTCTTACTATCTTACGAGCTGGAAGTTGTAATCCCAACAGAGACTGCAGTTCCCAGTCTTCGTCGGACTCTATGTCCGATGAACATCGAACTCAACAAACAGTTCTTAAGAGACCAGCCCGATCTGATTGACGAACGTCGAGATCAAACATTGATCATGACCCAAAACTACCAGCAGTCCGCAGCTTACTACTACAACTCCATGGCCAAACACCAGAGATTCAATGTAGGAGACATGGTCCTGCACAAGGTACAAGACTACACAAAAGAGCCCGGTGCTGGGAAATTAGAAACCAACTGGGAAGGTCCCAATTGCATCACCGAAGTAGTTCGCGACGACGTCTACAAGCTCACAAAAGTACGAAATAGAGGATCTGCGGAGAAGGCTTGCCATGGAGAAGAAAATGAGGATGAAACAGGAAAGAGGATGGACTTAGGATTCAAGCAAGGGTCAAAGCGTCAAAGCAAGCTAAGCCGAGAGCAGCGGCGTCAAAACCCCCCTCCCAGTTCACCGCCGCAAAACCCCTAAAGCCCTCTGCCGATTCAAGATCTCCTACGCTGGTATTTCTATTTCTTATTACTTCTAAGCGCGGATTTGATTGCCGTTATCGAGATTCAAGAAACTCGAGCGATTGAATTTACGGAGTGATGAGGGATGAAGCAGCACCGACCGGGCCGCCAACCAGAGATCTCTACGCGCTCCTGAATTTGTCACCGGAGGCCTCCGACGAAGAAATCAAGAAATCTTATCGTTAATGGTCTCACGTGTATCACCCCGACAAGTGCCAAATTCCTCAGGTTTGTGTAACCTATGCTCGAATCTCACCGTAGAATTGCGTTTATTGATTGATCCTCATCGTTTCTGATTATCTTGTTTATAATTTAGATGACTGTCTTCGTGTATTATTGATATCAATTTTGCTGATTTACGGAAAAACATAGTTTTTTTGTGTGTGGGCTGCTGATTTCTAATATCTGGTCAGATAAAGGAGGTTGCTGAAGAGAACTTCAAACGCATAAATGAAGCATACGAGATATTGTCGAATGAGACTAAGAGGCTAATATATGACTTATATGGCATGGAAAGCTTGTCTTCAGGATTGGAGCGTGGTCCAAGACTGAGTAAGGCCGACGAGATCAAGGGGAGTGAGTTATTAACACTTTAAATATTTAATTATTTATACTGGGTTAAGAACATAATGCATCCTTTGTAGTTGCAAAGGTTAATAATCTTTCTAGCAATCAAAAATGCATCATCATGCATTGTTGCCTTTGCATCATCTGAGTTATATAAAAATGAACTTCTTGTGCAGAGAACTTGCCGCAAGCTTCACTGTTCCTAGGGTGGTGGTTCTTGCTTCAACTAACATACCTGCAGAGCTCCACAAATCGATATTGAGGCATTTTCTCTAGGCCTTTGAGATTGGGATGCCTGATTTCAAGGAGAGAGCTCAGATATTGAGAGTGTTTTTGAAAGGAGAGAAGGTCCTACCGGATATTGATGTTAGAAGATGAGAAGAAGAACAAACAAATATTGGCAAGTAGAAACCGAATCTCAATGCTTCCTTCCTGCACCTGGTTTCTGACTAATGATGTTTCGAGTTGCCTGTGTTTTTTTTTCAGGTGCCTCGGCCATTGACACAGGTGGTTTTGGACAGGTTGCTGCAGGCCAATACTTTGGTTTAAGGTCGCAATCTCCGGTTTGGATGACGGTTTTCAAGCACTTCTGTATTTCCAAATGGATAATTTGAGTTAATTTTAAGATTGCTCTAATTATAACAAAAAAAGATTCTTAATAAAAGAAAGCTCTCCTATAAAGATTTGTATAGCCGCAAAAAGTATGTCGAAGAATGTACACTTTTTTTTTTTCAGATGTCCAAAAAAGTTGGGGCATTTCTTTGTGAGCCATTTGTTATTAGGATTTATTCAAACATCATCATGTTTTTTTTTTGGTAAAAATGTTAAGATTCAGACCAATTTTTGAGTTTTACACTGTTGCAAGCAACTTATTACAAACATAGAAAACGTAAAAGCAACCCGGAAAGAGCAAAGGAAAGCAGCGCATCAAGGGGGCCTGATACACGAGAAATAAAACTCAAGCATAGAGACAGAGGAGTGAGACCTTGAAGGAATTGAGAGCAAACAGTCGCGCACAAGACGATCAAGGGAAAAGCAGATGTTATAAGGGGAAGTCGAGATGGCTGAGAAGATATGAGCATTCTTTTCCTTCCAAATTAGGTAAATGGCGGACTGAAAAATAAGTTTTATGATGGAAGACGCTTGGGGGCTTGCGGGAGAACAAGCCAAAGTGATCCAAGCAGCTGCCGAGTGAAAATCTGATGGTGGGTTGGGCCAGACGTTCAAGGCAAAGTGTAACCAGACAGCAAAGCAGAAACCACATTCGAAGAAGAGGTGGTGATGCGTCTCAATGCCCGAGGAACAGAGAACACAAGTTTCTGCAACATTTAGACCCTACGTTCAGAGTCTATCCTTTGAAGGCAGTCTTCGCAGCAATGCCATCTAAGCCCTGAAGGAGCTTCGAGGAACATGTTCTTTAAACCAAATCACCTTATGCCAAGATTGTATTGGAGAGTGCGTTCTTAGATACTCCCAAGTGACCTTAGAGGAGAAAAAAGGTCCGAAGGTGCCATTAGCTTGACGCCAAAAGAAACAATCCTCTCCGCGAGCTGAACATGGAGGAGAGATGCCTGTAATGTTGATTTGAAGTACTTCCATTTCCTGAGATCTAACCGCTGGGAGATGCCAAAGTCCATTGCGTGTTGCCTCCAAAACACGAGCATCCTTCCTAATCCTCATTTGTCGAGGTCCAAGCTCTCCGACGAAAGTAATAAGCGGGACTATATCAGTCCAAACGTCAAACCAGAAAGAAGCTGATTCTCCATTACAAATTTCACAGCAAATATAGTCTACCAAGACCTGCTTATGCTGGACCATGCTTCTAACAGATCATGATAGATGATTAGAATCCTCCTTCATCCAGAAACTTCTCATTTTAAAAGTATGTTTCCAGAGCCAAGCTACCCATAAAGAGCCAGAATTGGTAAAGAAATTCCAGATCTGTTTAAGCCTGAAAACCAATTGAAATTCCTCAAGAAGCCGAATACCAAGCCCTCCTTCCTCCTTCGGTTTACAAACATCTTTCCACGCAACACGAGCTCCTGATGCAGAACAAGTTTTGTTCTTTCACAAAAAAGCAGCACATAGAGAATCCACTTTCGCGTAAAAAGCTTTGGGCAACACGGATATAGAGCTCCAAAAGTTCACCATTCCGTAATAACCGATGCAATAAGACAAATCTTGCCCGCATATGAGAGAGACTTAACAGTCCACGAGTGGAGCTTGCTTGTGATTTTCTCTAAAAAAGGTTGGAGAGTGGCCATGGAGATTCTCTTCGAGTTTAATGGTAAACCCAAGTATCTTGTCGGAAAAGAACCAATTTTAATTCCATAAATTCCACTTAGAACTGCTGCCTTGATATCATGGTAGCCTCCAAAAATCAATTCTGACTTTGCTGGGTTCATTTGGAGCCCACTTATGTTCTTGAAATTACGCATCACAGAGGTAATACCAGAGAGCGATAGTCTAGATCCGCCAGAGAAAACCAGAAGATCATCTGCAAATAACAGATGAGTTAGCCTCGGGTCAGAACATTTAGGATGTAAGCGGAAATCTCCTTGATGAACAAGTAGGGAGAGACTGAATCACCCTGACGCAACCCCTTCCTGGCTTGGAAAAATCCAGCCAATTCTCCATTTATCGTGACAGAGAAATGGGGAGTAGATATGCATTGTTTGATCCACTCTCTGAACAACAGTGGAAAGCTTTGTGCTTCAAGCAATTTGAGAACAAAGTCCCAGCTAACCATGTCAAATGCTTTCCTTATGTCAACTTTTAGCAAGGAGCTCTTAGGACAAAAAGCCTTTTGATAATCCTTTATCAACTCTGAAGCCAATAACACATTTTCACCCAGATTTCTCCCCTTAAGAAGGCCGCTTGATTGGGACTGATGCATTCCTTTAAGATCGGCTTCATCCTATTAGCAATTATCTTGGAGATAACCTTATACACAATATTGCAGCAACTAATTGGCCGATAGTCCCCTAACTTACATGCTTCAGGCAGCTTTTAAATAAAAGCAATTGCAGTGTTGTTCAAATCCTTTAGAAGTCTTCCATTCCTGAAGAATTCCTGAACTGCAGCAACTACACCACTCCCTACTATGCTCCACGAACCTCGCAAAAATTCCACAGAAAACCTATCTGGCCCTGGGCATTTATTCAGAGGCATGGCAAATCTTGTGTTTTTGATCTCCTCCTCCGTTACTGGTTTTTGTAGCTCGTGAATCTGTTCTTGAGAGCATCGAAAAGGAAGCAAAGCCTGAAGGTGGGCAAGGAAGCAGGGGATTTGGGCAATTCCGTAGTTCCCAGGACCCCTTTGAAGTACTCCGTCGAATGGGAATTAATCTCTTCTGCGGAACCAATCAGCCTGTCGTTAAAGTCCCTTAGAAAATGTATGTGATTTCTGCTTGCCCTTTGAATAACCGTCTTGTGGTAGAACGATGTGTCTCTAGCACCAAGATGGTGCCATTGGACTCTAGACTTTTGGCGGTAGTACTTTTCTTCCGCAGAAGCCAAAGTATGCCATTTAGCTCTTTCGAGATGTTCAAGGCAAACAGTTTCCACATCTGTATTTGTGAGAAGAGACTGCTGGAGTGCTGACAACTTAGCTTCTTGATCCTTAACCCTTGCCGAGATACCACTATAATGAGTTTTATTCAGATTTCTAAGCACTGGCTTAAGAAGCTTGAAGGATCGCGCAAGCTTAAACTGGTAGGAGCCTTGGATTTCCACGCACTTCCAAGTTTCCCTAACAGATTCTTCATAAAGAGGGTGGTCCATAACGTGATGGAAGAACTTGAAAGGTTTAGTAACTCGCCTTTGACAAAGCATGAAGCATGGTCCGACTGATCTGGAGCTAGGAAATCAGAGAAAGAATTCAGAAATTTCTGCGCCAAATGCTGGTTTATGAAGGCATGATCAATCTTGGTCGAGATCGGATTTATCTCCTGGTTGTTCCACCAGGTATAAGCAAGGTCCTTTCGTTGAGCCTCAAATATCTCAGCCTCTTGAATTGCGAGATTGAACTCCTCTATACCAGATACGTCTACATCCCGAGCAAGATGATTTGAATGCTGATTGGAGCGAAGGATTTGGTTGAAATCTCCAACTACAGCCCATGGAAACCTTGAGACTGGAGTGGTAGCATTTATCCGACCCAGTTTCTCCCATAGAGAACGTCTTTCATCCACTTGGTTAAAACCGTAAACAAACGTAACTGTAAAGGTAATATTCTCCGAGATAATAAAAATCCCACATTGATATGAGCATGGGGACATCTAACCTAGAAGATGAGCATGTAGCCGTTGGAAAACAAGATCAAGACCAGAGGGAGGCTGAAAAAGTTCTTAAAGTGCAAGGAGGTCCAATGACCCGAGCTAAGACTAAGGCATTTTAAAATGCCTTAGAGGTTCTACTTAATCAGTTTAAGTATGAATCAAGTACTAAGGAGGCTACACGTTCCACATTGGTCTGCATTGTAGCCGGGGACTAAGCTAGTGGGTTTGTGGGACATTTTTTGCTCTTTTTCCCTTAGTGAGTTTTGTCCCATTGGGTTTTCTCACTAAGGTTTTTAACGAGGCAAGTGTTCCCACAATGTCATTGCCCATTAAGCTTAGCCTTGTTCCAAGCCCACTTCTTTCTACCATTCGTGGCTTGGATGTGTCTAGGTTCATTTTATTGTTTTTAGTTGTTTCTTTCCTTGTAGTTTGTGATATTTTGAACAAGAGTCATGCATGGTTAGTCAAGGGGGTTTGTCCCAAGACCAACTTATTGCTCTCTTGTTGTCCGTTCTCCTTCCTCTCTCCCTTCTCTCCTTAAAACCGTGTGTTAGTTGTTTTTGTGGTTTCATCTATCTTTGAATAAAAATTTCCTTTGCAAAATAGATCATCTCTCTTGGTGCGTTATATCCTTGAGAAATCCTACTTAGAACCCTAGGTGCGTCATATCCTTGTGTTCTCGTAGCTTTGTATCAAGAGCCTTCCATCTCTCTTGCTACATTCTATCTGCACTCTTTCCCCACTTTTCCCATTCAATTAAAACAACCTCTTACCACCGTTCAGATCATTCCACCATCTCACGTCAAGTAGTTCGTAACTTAGCTTGAAAGGATCGATCATTAGCCCGGATCATATCAAGTGGTATCAGAGCAAACCTTCCAAAGCTAAGTTTTCTGATCCGATCCGTCCTTATTCATCGTTTCAATATTTTTGACTCTTCATCTACTGTCGAAAATATTTTTTAAAATTATTGTTCATCACGGGTTTGATCTCTTGTATTTCATAAAATTATTTTTAAAATAGTTTAGAATTTTTTTTTTTATAAATTCTAATCTACCTAAGAACTACTTACTGCGAGAGAAATTTTGTATTTCAGGAGCAATGGCCGAGGAAGATGACCCGGAACCTTCAGCCGTACGTGCTCAGAGGATTTTGGTCGAAGCCCTCACGGCTGAGATGAAAAAAAATGTTACAAGTTGAGGTAGAAAAGATCAGACAAAGCTATGAACAGAGAGAAACGGCTCGGAGACGCCAAGGCAAAAAAACCGCGAGAGATGATGAACAAGAAGGGCAGGCTAGTGGACATCAGACTGATCAATACTACAAAAGCAGTAGCTCCTCTAAAAGTGGCCATAGAAGTTCTATACAAGGCAGAGAATGTGTGCAAGACAACTTGGCCGGTCTAAAGATGAAGATTCCCCCTTTTCACGGCAAGTGTGATCCGGATGCCTACCTTGAGTGGGAAAAGAAGATAGAACTGGTATTCAACGTTCAACATTACACTGAGGAGAACCGTGTTAAAGTAGCGGCCACAGAGTTCTACGACTATGCCCTAAGCTGGTGGGATCAACTCGTCACAACCAGAAGGAGAAACCAAGAGTATCCGGTTACAACTTGGAACGAGATGAGAAATTTGATGAGGAAACGGTTTGTTCCGAGCCATTACCATCGCGAGCTACATCAAAGGCTTCGGAGATTGACGCAAGGCAACCGTTCTGTGGAGGAATATTTTCAGGAAATGGAAACACTAATGCTTCATGCAGATATCTTGGAGGACAGGGAAGCTACGAGGGCTAGGTTCCTCGGAGGCCTTAACCGAGAGATTCAGGACCGTCTAGAGACACAACATTATGTCGACTTAGAAGAAATGCTTCACAAAGCAGTGTTGTTTAAGCAGCAAGTCAAGAGAAAAGGGTCATACCGTTCGGGTTCTAGTACCAGACCAAACAGTCGGACAGTTTATCCGCGGGACGACAGAAACTCGTACCGGTCAGCATACCCGCAGAATCAGCCGAGAGAGGATAAGCCGATCAGTTCCAAATCCGAAACTGTCCAACCATATAGGAAACCTAAGGAGGCTAATACCAAGGCTCGTGATGTGAAATGTTTCAAATGCCAAGGCCGTGGACATTACGCCAATGAGTGCCTCAACAAACGTGTTATGGTGTTACTAGAAAACGGTGACATAGAATCAGAGGATGAGCAACAAGAAGAAACAGAGGAGGAACATGAGTTATTGCCAGTACAAGGAGAGTTGCTTGTAGCAAGAAGGACATTGACCGTGCAAAACAAACCAGAGGAACAAGATCAGCGTGAGAATCTGTTTCACACTCGTTGTTTGGTTCAGGGAAAGGTTTGCAGTTTGCTCATAGACGGTGGGAGTTGCGCTAATGTGGCAAGCAGTATTATGGTTAAGAAGCTGAGTTTGCAAGCTACTCCTCACCACAGCCCGTATAAGCTACATTGGTTGAACGATAAAGGAGAAATGAAAGTCACCGAACAAGTCTTAGTACCACTGGCCATAAGTGAGTATAAAGATGAGATACTTTGTGATGTGCTACCTATGGAAGCAAGTCATATCCTGCTAGGGAGGCCGTGGCAATCTGACCGCCGGGTGATACATGATAGATTTTCCAACCGGCACTCCTTTGAGTTTAAGGGTAAGAAGAATACTTTGATTCCTATGACTCCTCAAGAAGTCTACAACGATCAGAAACACACCTTAAGGTCAGCCAAACATTTAAACTTCTTTGCTAAGGCTGGACAGGTTAAGAAAGCTTTATACTCTGAAACACCTATGCTGTTATTTGTTTATAAAGAAACATTAACCACCATGGCTGATCTTACACCGGTGTATCCGAGTGAAATGCAAGCTCTTTTACAGGATTATGAAGATGTCTTTCCAGAAGAGACACCAACGGGACTGCCTCCCATCCGGGGTATAAAACACCAAATAGACTTCATTCCCGGGGCATCCTTTGCAAACCGTCCCGCCTACCGTACCAACCTAGTGGAGACCAAAGAACTACAGAAGCAGGTGGATGAACTGATGGCCAAGGGACATATCCGTGAAAGCATGAGCCCTTGTGCGGTACCAGTACTTCTAGTTCCAAAGAAAGACGGTAGTTGGAGGATGTGTGTTGACTGCCGTGCAATCAACAATATCACGGTGAAGTATCGCCATCCCATTCCTAGGCTAGATGACATGTTAGATGAATTGCATGGTTCTAACATTTTCTCCAAAATTGATTTAAAAATTGGTTACCACCAGATCAGAATGAAAGAGGGGGATGAATGGAAAACCTCATTCAAAACCAAACATGGTTTATATGAATGGCTGGTTATGCCATGCGGATTGACTAATGCCCCTAGCACTTTTATGCGTTTAATGAATCATGTTCTTAGGGCGTATATAGGCATCTTTGTGGTGGTTTATTGATGTTATTGCATATTGCATACATTTTGCATACTCATTAGTTAGTTTTTCATGCATTTGTATCATATTTTAGGTTAGATTGCATCACTTAGGGTCCTAGAGCATTCTTGCATCAGCATATGCATTTTCCTTGCATTTTGCATCACATTCAGGTTGTTTCTGGCTGCTTTGGAGTCATGGAGGTTCGTGAGCGTTAGGAGGCTGATGTAGCAGTTCGTGGGAGCTCGGAAATATGCTAAGGACCAGTGATCGAGGAGCAGATCGAGCATGGCCGGTCGATCTAGGAGTTGATCGACCAGAAGATCGAGCCAGCTAGGCGATCCAAGGAGAATGATCGAGACGGAGATCGAGTGAAGCAATCGATCAATCGGTACGGACGTAAATGACGCCATGCAGAGCGAGAGCCAGATCGAGTACACCACTCGATCCACCCGAAGATCGATACCGAGATCGGATGCAACATTCGATTCACCGATGAAGATCGAGACCCAGATCGAGCCGAAGACACGATGTCCGAATATGATCGAGAGAACCACTCGATCCAGTGGTCGATTTCTGTCCTTTCAACTGTTTTTGGCTGTTAGCAAAGGGGGGACCATTGGTTTGTTTGGGCATTTTAGGCAAGGTTGCGAGATGCTTTTTCGTTAACTTTTTAGATCTTTATCCTTTCTTTGATGTTTTCTCTCTCGTTTTACGAAGAACACCATTGTTGAACCAGTTTTTCTTTGAAGCTTTTGTATTCGAATCTATATCGTTTAATCCAGTTTTTCTTTCATGTTTATCGTCTCGTTTCTTATGCTTTGCTTGATTTACTCTATGTGTAGCGAGTAGTTTACTTTGGGTTCGGGGTTGAGAGGATTAAGGGGTAGAAAAGGTTCGATCTTGGTTTGTTTTCTAAACGTTTTAAAGGCTATCTCTTCTAAGGTGTTGAAAGCTTAATGCTTGAAGACTCTCACGCCAAGAGCTTCATGATCCGAGAGGTTCCTTACCTTGACAGGATCCAGGAGCCTCAGAAGATCACACCTTAGAGACGAGTTACCCCTTCCCAAAAGCCATGGAAGTTTGGGGGACTAGTTAAGCCATTACTTGAAATCTGTTTTCCTTGCCTTTCGACCTCTCTTTCCACCAAAAGCCATGGGTTTGGAGGAGAGGATGAAAGAGTGATCTATACCAAAAGCCACGGATAGATCTTGTTTTGTTTTCAAGGCTTAGAGATCCTCACCAAGTGAGTCGATCTAAAGTTTCAAACCCAAGATCGATCCTTTGAAACTCTTTACATGAATCTCAACCCTAGGCCCTTTCTTTTAGAATCTCTAAGTCTATTTTCATCTTTCGCTTGTTATCTGATAGCATCCTGGTCATTAGATTTGTTGTTCTTACGGTTTTAGACGAGATCGATCGTTACTGCTCGATCTAGTGATCGATCTCGTAGTCGATCCACTAGTCGAATTTTAACAATTCGAAG